TTCTCCTTCAGTGTGTGGCTTTATACGTTATTCCATCCCTCTTTTTGATACAGAATTTTTACATGGGCTTCTCTCTTGGTGATTAACACTATCATAGCTGAGTATTTTGAATGCTTGTTAATTTATTTTCACAAGTTCCCTTTGAGATAATGTATTATCACCACCCTTTTACAAATGGAGGACTGAGTTATGGAGAGAAATACAATCACACTTTTGAAAAGTTTCCACTAATTTTGTGTTCTTCAGTGATTGTGCTTCAAATTTGAACACTTTGTAGGAACAGAATCTGGACGCCATATATGAAGCAAGCAGAAGGATTTATTAACACACAGTGCTGGCCAAGTGTCACGTCGCTTGTTAGCCTCAGTGAACACTGCCAAACAATAGGTTACAACTAATTATATAGGATGCTCAATGGGCAGATCAAATGATAGGAGGGTTGGAGAGGAAGATGCTAATCATGAGGCAAAATAAGAGCAATGAGAAGTTACATAGTGTTTTCCGCCCATAGCTTACATAATACCTTACATCTAGTAAAACAAGTATTTAAACAAAGCAGACATCAATTATCAATTATGTGTTAAGTGGCGATATGTCTGTCAGCTTCAAGAAGGTGTGTCTGCACGGCCATATTGGGTCAGGTCAAAGGTCCATCTAGCCCAGTATCCTGTTTGCTAAAAGTGTCTAATGCCACATGCCCGAGACGGAGTGAACATAACGGGGAATCTTAAAGCAATCCCTCTCCTGTCACCCATTCCCAGCCTCTTACATAGTAGGATACTATTCCTACTCATCATGGCTAATAGCCAGGAATGAATCTAACCTCTATTAATTTATCTAGTTGTTTCTTGAACCATTTTAAAGTCCTGGTGCTCACTCTGGCAAGGAGTTCCAGGGGCCGACCCTGCTCTGTGTGAAGAAAAACTTCCTTTTGTTTGTTTTAAACCTGCTATCTATTAATTTCATTTGGTAACCCCTCGTTCTTACATTATGGGAACAATTAAATAACTTTTCCAGATTCACTTTTTCCAGTCATGATTTTATAGAGCTCTATCATATCCCCCCTTTGTTGCCTCTTTTCTAAGCTGAAAAGTCCCAGTCTTTTTAATCTCTCTTCATATGGGATCTGTTCCATACCCCTAATGATTTTTGTTGTCCTTTTCTGAAACTTTTCCAATGCTAATATATCTTTTTTGAGCTGAGATGACCACATCTGTGTACAGTATTCAAGATGTGGGCGTGCCATCGTTTTATATAGAGGCAATAAGATACTCTGTCTTATTTGCTAACCCTTTTTAAATGATTCCTAACGTTCTGTTTGCTTTTTTGACTGCCGCTGTACATTGAATGGATGTTTTCAGAGAACTGTCCACAATGACTCTAAGATCTCTCTCCTGAGTAGTTATAGCTAAGCTAGTCCCAATCATATAGTATGTACAGTTGGCATTTTTTTCCAATGTGCATTACTTTACATTTATTAACATTAAACTTCATTTGCCATTTTATTGCCCAATCACTCAGTTTGGTGAGATTTTTTTGAAGCTCTTTACAGTCTGCTTTGGTCTTAACTATCTTGAGCGGTTTAGTATCATCTGCAAATTTTGCTATCTCACTGTTTGCCTCTTTCTCCAAATCGTTTATAAATAGGTTGAATATGATTGATTCTGTTACAGATCTTGGGGGATACTACTAGTTACCTGTCTCCATTCTTGTCCACATGTTTGTTGACCTCCTTAAAGACCTCTAGTAGATTAGTAAGGCATGATTTCCCTTTACAGAAACCATGTTTACTTTTCCCCCAACAAATTATGTTCATCTATGTCTCTGATTTTATTTTTCCTATAGTTTCAACTAATTTGTCCGGAGCTGGTGTTAGACTTAGCAGTCTGTAATTGCCACAATCACCTTTAGAGTCCCTTTAAAAAAAAATATTGGCATCACATTAGCTACAGAATTAGCTACAGAAGCTGATTTTAAAGATAGGTTATGAACCACAGTTAATAGTTATGCAGTTTTACATTTGAGTTCTTTCAGAACTCTTGGGTGAATGCTATCTGGTCCCGGTGACTTGTTACTGTTAAATGTATTAATTTGTTCCAAAACCTCCTCTGATGACACCTCAACCTGAGACATTTCCTCAGATTTGTCATTTAAAAGAAATGGCTCAGGTTTGGGAATCTCCCCAACATGCTTAGCTATAAAGACTGAAGCAAATAATTCATTTAGTTTCTCTGCAATGACTTTATCATCTTTGAGTGCTCCTTAAGCATCTCCATCATCCAGGGACCCCACTGTTTGTTTAGTAAGCTTCCTGCTTTTGATGTACTTAAAGCCATAGTTCCTAAATAATTCTGTGGAGCTAAATTAGCTCTGATCAATAATCAGCGGCTTTTCATTGTCTTCATTTGGTGCCAGCATAACCTTATAGAAAAGAAATGAGTAGGTAAGTCACATTCTTCTTCAAGTGGTTGCTCATGCCCATTCAAATTAGGTGTGCACACCGCGTCTTCCAGAGCGTTTTCCCTAGCGGTACCCATATCGCCGGCAAGGCGCTCCCTGGAGTGGCGCCGCCATGGTGGGGCATAAGTACCTCTGCCGGCGCTTCCCCACCTCAGTTCCTTCTTACCACCCGTGACGGTCGTTGGAGTGTGTCTCTGTGTTAGAGCAGTTAATGGTTCCCGTTTCTCTTAGTATTATAGATAGTTCTAAATAATTCAATGAGTTAGTTAGTGTCTCTTTGTTTTTCTTCTTCCCCTTCGGTGGTGAGGAATGCCAGGGCCGCAAGGCTTTAAGGCGTGCCTCTTAGTATTGTAGATAGTTCTGAATAGTTCAATTAGTTAGATAGTTAGTAGCTCTTTGTTTTTCCTTCTTCCCCTTTGGGGGTGAGGAATACCAGGGCCTCAAGGTTTTAAGGCGTGAGCTGTCTGCACAAAGTTTATGCCCAAAGGACAACCTCACAACAGTTGTCTGAAGTGTCTGTGTGAAGGCCATCTTACAGACGCCTGTAAGATCTGCAAGTCTTTTAAGCCGCGCACTAAGAGGGAGAGAGACTCTTGTCTAAAACTTCTCCTCATGGAGGCGGCTTTACAGCCGGCACCAGCTGAGCACTCTGCGGTGCACAGTGCACCGGTGTCCATGCAAGATGCTCCATCCCGAGGCTGGGCCTTGGCGTCGAGGGCCTGGCACCGGTCTCACTCTCCGGCACTGAAGAGGTCAAGAACGTCTCATGGTAGGTCTCCGAGCCGCATATCCAAGTTGAGCCTACGTCATGGTGCCAAGTCACCGGTGCACAAGTCCTCATCCTCCACAGTGCGGCGTAAGCGAGCAGGACGTCCGTCCAGTCCAGGGCAGCTACCCTCGCACCACCCCTCCACCCCGGACACTTTTGAGGTGGCGTGAGGGTAGTTATTAGCCTCACTACTTCCCCTCCATCGTCGGTTGAGGCGGAGAGGTCGAGGTTGCCTACGCCGGAGGCCGTGTTGGCACCGGCTTCGCCTCAGCACTGGCATGACCGGACGGCACCGGTCTCTTATGCAGCAGGACCATCCCCTGGG